TTTTGAAAAAAATTCTCTTTTTTGAAATATTTATTAAAATGGTCTCAAAATGATCCTATACATACACAAGATGTCCCAAAATGATGTACGAGCATTAGAATCGTAGAAGGGATCAGAGGGAACAAAGGTCTTATACTATTTTGCAATATTCGCTGTAATTTTTGATATCAAAAATAAAACGTTTGAGCTGTGCCGTGACATTACGTCGCGCGAGTTCGCAGCACGGCCTATTGCTCCTTACTTGATAGCGGCGCCAGCGGCGTGCGGTGAGGGAAAATATGACAGGTTGCTGCCTGGTATGGCAGTTTTATGTGTTTTACCGCACCGCGTCTACACTATCCGATAGTATTATTTTAGCTGAAATTTTTCTTACACATTTTTTACCATCATAAATCACGTTATTTAGCATGCTTAAATACATTTTAACACAATTAGGTATGTTAAATGACGTAATTAATTAGAGTGCTTACGCGAAGCGTAAGCTGAACGTTGTGATATGTTTCTCTTATCTTTCCGCGTGTTTTATTATGCGATGTTTCTATCTACGCTTCGAGATATATTACCTTAAAATGTTGTTTTACATTATATATATTTTTGCTGGGATGTCCTTTTTTTACATAATGTGTGTACACTTGGAGTTACAGTGTAAACTCATCGATGGCCACTACACTGTAAATCCAGGTGTATTATTTTTACACATGTAAACTTAAAAAAAATAATGCATTTGACTGAGGCACTTTTTTTCACATGTTCTGCCGTTTAACAAGTTTAATCGTACACTGTTAAAAATGTTTTTAAATTTCATTAACATTTAATATACATACATTGGCGTATGAAATTTAAATTCTCCGTAACTGAAAAGATTATTTACGTACATGCTAATGAGATTTAAGTTCGTAGTAACTGGAAAATTAAATGTATTTCAATTTAATACTTTCTATTTATGGATATGAATAACATTTTAATTAATCATAATTGAAATAACTATTAATGTACATATTGGTGAACTCTTTGTTAACTGATATAATTTATATTTATATAAATAGTAAATCTGCAATAATATACGTAAAATTAAGTTATAATTGAGAAATGTATACAGGAAGAAAGGAATATGAATTTCAATATTTATATGTATAGAATTACAATCTTCAATAACATCAAATATTATAGTACTTTGCAGTAATGTTACTTCGAAAGATTACAATATTTCGTAAAACATTGCTGTAATATTGTAATATTCTTATGTCCGCTAAAATAAAATATTGCTTTAGTATTCTGTGATATAGCTTCAATATTTAGAGAAGTATTGCAGATATATTGCAACATTATGCAATATTTTAATAATTAATTCAGTCTTATAATTACTGAAATATTATTTTTTAGCATCATTCTAAAATACATACAATACAGTTATAATAAAAAAACTTTTGGGAGCCTAGGAAGTATACTCAAAAGGGTTTGGAAATTTTCAGATTTTAAAATACATACGATAAAGTTATAATTAAAAAACTTTCGGGAGCCTAGGAAGCACACCCAAAGGCCTTGGAAATTTCCAGAAGACTCGCCACTCGTTTTGTATACGTCTCGCCTACAGTATGAAATATTTCAGCCATATTACAGCAATATTTTAATGGCGCTGTGTTACAAAAATTGAAGCAATATTGCTGCAGTACTAAAATTTTAATATTTTTTTGGAAATATTGCAATAATATCGGTTCTAATATTTTGTAGAAAATAATGCAATATTATAATTTAACAGATAAGTACGCAGTCTCGCCACGCGATAGACGCGTACTTATCTGTCAAGAAGAAAAAAAAATATCCTATAAGAACGAGTATATAGATCGAGTTGACGATTCTCCTAGAGATTCCTAAGGTCTTTCGGATGTACTTTTTGGACCCTCGAATGTTTTTTGGTTATAAGTTTATCATGTGTATTTTGGAATATCATGCTAAACAATATTTTAGCAATTAATAAAATGATTAATTATCGAAATATTTCATAATGTTATAACATAATATATCTGCAAGATTTTTCTAAATATTGCAGTAATACCGCAGAATACTTATAGAAATAGTTTATTTTAGCAGGAATATTATTACAATATTGCAGTAATGTTTTATGAAACACTGCAATCTTTAATATTGCTATAATATTGCTGTAATATTTCGTGTTATAGGGATACGTTTTCACAGTTTCTGATAAATGTTGAGATATATATAATATTCTATTTTTCAGTGATAATAAAAAAAGAAAAAAACTTTAATCTAAAAAATAACGATGTTCTTTATATTTCAATTAAAATTAATAGCTTCATCAGCAGGTGGAAATCTAATAAGATTTGTTAGAATAAATCATTATTTTATACTAAAACAATGATTAAATTTGAAATTATATAGTGTCAATTTGACACTATATAAGAGCAGCGGCGACTGAAATAAAATTAAATTAAATTTGACACTATCGATTTAACAGTGTCGCTTTATGTCTAATAGACGATATATATATATATATATCTAGAATATATATATATATATAGAATAACATATTGATAGCTTTAATAATGTCTCTTTAAACACAGCCCTCCTAATTACTCACAATTAGTTCAAAATGAGTCTTACATACATGACGCTACATTGTTTTTATGCACTTTTTACTGTCCCTAACATTAATTGCCCATAGCATTAATTTTTATCATTATTGTATCTATTTTGTATATATTTTATATACATATACATATAGGAATATGTAAAAAGATATTTATATTATATTACAATAATATGTTATTAATGTATTTATATTATTGATATGTTATGTATTTTGAGTTACATGTGTGCTAGATTACATTTTTAAATAATTGTTAAGATTAAACGTAAGAAAAAAATATATCTTTATTTTCTTAAAGAACCCTCAAAATTATGTGACAATTATATCTCGTCTCCATACCATAAAAAACATTATTCTTCTTATATACTTCCTGAGTCATATTACAGTTACATTTTGATTTGCTGGGCATAGATACACGGAGCAGTTATGCTTCTCACGTTATGCTTCTATTTATATATAGCACAAGACACTACCATATCTTTTAATAATTAAGTATTAATTTATTATTACTTTATAACTCTAATCCTAAAGAAGAGTATCGAAAAAATCGATTTTTCGCCGATCGAAATAAAGCTTAAATTCAAATTTTTTTATACGTTCAACAGTATTGTGAGTGTGTGTGTGTGTGTGTAAATTCAGATATGAGGTTAAAAATTAGCAAAATTCTGGAGAAATGCCTTGAATTTAAAGATAATGTCAGTAATCCAGGTATGATGCTGGAATATTTTAATAAATCTCAGTATTTTCTCAATAACGTACGCAATACTTGCTTGTATCTAGATGAAATTAGATGATTATATAAACTTTACATTTATTAAAATATATATTTATTTTCAGCGCCGATTTTTGACATCATAACTGAATTCAACACTCTCGAAAAATTATAAAAATATTCTCAAATTCAAGCTTTATTTCTATCGGCAAAAAATTGATTTTTTTGATACTCTTTACGTCTTAATTTAAACTTAAGCAGTCAACTCCTTATTTTTTATCACTTGGCGCTTATGTCAGTATTTGTACCTAACCATTTCAAATATTCAATATCTTAGTGCAATAATTTAGAATAAAGTTTTAATATCGATTTTTTGTTTATCGTGTGTTTTATATGATCTCTATGTATATAGCAGTACATAATCAAGTTTAACAGAATGACCAAATAAACGATTAAATTAACAAAGATATAGCAAACTATTAATATACATTTCGAATTTACATAAGCGATTGACGTTTTGACTATACAGTCTTTCACAAAATCTACATCGAATATTATAATTTAACTTCTTACAATAGAGAATGAAATGTCTCATAAATATAAAAAAAAACGTCTGAAAATAAATCGCTAAAAAGAGACCAATTTAGTCAGGACAAATTTTCCAAAATTCTTTTTATAGATACGGTCTTGATTTATGCTTTCACTTCATTTCAACTTTTACTTTGTACTTGTTCTTGTTTTCATGATTCATCTTTGGAAAACGTTAACGGTTGGAGATCAAAATTTCAGACTGGACAAAGTCTTATACATTTGATCATGACTGTTTTTGTAATTTTTTTTCTAAAGATTTTATTTTTTGTTACATGTCTTATCCAGATAATATGCATATTGCATAAAATATCAAAAAGACGTCTTTTATATTTTATGCAACATAAATGTTATCTGGGTATTTTCATTATTAGTTGAATTTTAATTGTTTAAATTTGAATTTTTTGACTGAAATGGTATTTGACGTACATATAAAATCGATTTTCGTTAGTAAATGATGAATCTGCTATTAGATGTGTATTTTATTTTTTATGACTATAATTTAAAAAATATTTCTTAATTATCATCATTGAAAATGAGTGAAAGCATAGATCAAGACTTCCGTGTCTATAAAAAAAGGAATTATGGAAAATTTGCTGAATGAAATCTTTACTGGTTTGGCCTCTTTTTGGTGACTTATTTTTAGGCGTTTTTTGTATTTATGCTACATTTTATGTTCTGTTGTAACATAAGTTAAATTATATTTCCTGTAGATTTTGAAAAAGACTGCGTAGTTGAAACGTCTATTGCTTATGTAAATTTGAAATATATAGTTACTTAAGTATTTTTTCTACATCTTTGTTTATTTGCTTGTTTACTTGGTCGTTCTCTTAAACTTGTTTATGTATTGGTATGCAATGTAACGAGCACTTTATTGTTATGGTTTGCTTATAAATATGTTTTTCTTAACTCTTGATGCTAGCGTAACGTGAACTCAGCACCTTCATCTTTAATATTAATTCTTCTAAATAGATAAAGGGGAAAAGATCAATAAATTAATAATAAATTAGCATGTATATATAGCATATATCCAAATTTGTTTTAATGGTAGGAATATCACTGTTCATGTTCATAGAGATCATGATTTTGCAGAAAGTGAAAGTTGATGAAGACTGTGGGATAAAGAGAAACTGCTACTGAGTTTTTCCATTTGGAATTAAGGCTAAAATTACTATACGCTTGTGCGAATCCTCACATCCAGTGATCGAAAGGATACGAGAAACATCAAAATGGCATCACAAGATATCATCTTTATAAAGAAGGAAGATCTGATCAACGCTGTAACATCAATTATTTATTCAAACTCCACGCCGCTTATTAATGATGTTCAGCCAGCTACCACATTTCTTTCTTTCTTCATAAATTTTCCCGGCGAATTTTCTCCATACAATGCAATAGAGGTAAGCGACGCAATTGTAACACAATTGTATAACTATAATCAAAAGAGCTAGAGTTTTCTGTAAATGATAAAGTATACTTACTCTTAACATGAACACACTCCCCGCAAGAGTGAATAAGTGAATGAGTGAGCGACAATATTTTTTTTTATGCTTTAGAATAAAATTTTTTTTTAATGAATGACTAGATAAATATGGATAAAAATACGAGTGAATCAGAAGGATTATTACGAATTAAAGTTAGCACCTATTCTTTAGAAGTTTCTAAAGTAGACGTTTCTATATATACATACAATAATTATATCTTAGACTCGGATCGAAATTACATTATGGATTAAAATTTCGATCTGGTTACGATTATGATCTGAGGCTATCCAACTTTTGGTTTCAATCTTCGGTTCCATCCTTTTACTGAATACTTTAACAGTCATTACAGATATATAATTATCGAAAACTGTAACCAAAAAGGACCGAAATCCAAATGGACCCGATAACTGTACGATAAAGAACTGGAACCAAAAGTGGGATTTAGCCTCGGACTGTATCCGGGACCGAAATTTTTTGGACCGAGTCCTTCTGTAGTCAGACACGATTTACGATTAAAAATGCATTGCATTTAAGTACGTACAGTAAAGAAAAATGTGAAGAACGATAAATATGAACAGTATTTCGAATATTTTCTGTTTTATAGTTACATTCTGAGTTAAAAGATAAAATTAATTTCTGCTTCAAAATAAACAGCTCCGAATTTATTTAGTCACAATTTCTCGCGTTGCTCCGCGAATAAAATGATTGAAAAATAATTAGTAAATGTACGATGTGCGACGTTTCAATAAACAGATTTATTTATGATACAATTAATAATTTATAAATATGTAAATTTTTAGCGTAATACATCTTGTTTTTTCAAAATTTTATGATTAAAATTAATAAAAATACGCACCATGATACATGATTGATACATTTATGATGCAACATAATCGTAACAACTCTTGTTTTATAAAATTTATAAAATTATTACAATTTGATTAACCTTAACTTTATTTTCATGTATTTCCTCATTTGCATATATGCACATCAATTTATAAAGGAAATGTGCGTGCGTGCATACGCGCGCGTTATGTATATATGTTTAAATTTAGCATATGAGACCAAATTTAAAATATAAATAATACAATATGATAAGAATTTGAACTGATGAAAATAAATGTATATTAAAGTGGATCTTAATACCTTAATACTTGTGTGAAATTATGTACATGTTTGATTTTATAAACTACGCGCCGAAATGTTTTTCGGTCTTGAAACGCAATCATCAGCAGAACTAAAGTACTAATATTATTTAATAAATTCATAAGCAATTTAATAATTTTTGATGCTTATAAGCATCAAAATAAGAATCATAATTAAATGTTAATAAGAATCTTAAATTTGCAAATAAACCCAATGTTGGTTTTGTGGCGCAATACTATTCACATGACCACAAGTACGAAAATCACAAATACAAACTATGTGGACAATAAGGGTACAAAGAAGAATACTGTGATACTCCTCAGTTTAAAGCAAATAACTTATCTTAGATCAAACAAATTATTAGTGGAAATTGAAGGAAGCACATCATGGTGCAAATTAACGAAATCTCCAAGTTACAGTTGGACACCGCATCCGACATTATAATTATATTCGTACGCATATGGAGGACATTGAATCAAGCCATCTTATCAACCTGCTGCACAAAATGCCACAACAATAATCCCTTACAAATATTGGAAGAATTCATTTGCACCGTTCAGTGTAACAATTATTTTAAATCAGATAAGGTCTTTATTACGAGCGTTCGGAATCTAAATGTTTTAGGCATTGATTGGTTCGAACTTGGCTTTGGAAAAATCTCTATCAACGCAATTTGCACCGCTATAAAATTTCACGACGAGAAGCACATGATCCAATCAAAATTCTCTAACATATTCACTGACACTCTGAGTCATTGTACGAAGACAAAAAAGTTAATCTACTATATAAAACCAGAAGCCAGTGTTTCGAGCGAAACGTTCAATAGACTACGCTGCCATTCCATTGATCGATCGAGAATTGGACCGCTTTCAGAAAATGGGTATTATTCACCAATTGAATACTCGGACTGGGCAGCACCCATTGTAGTAGTAAAAAAAGCTTAATGGCGATATCCGCATATGTGACTACTCTACAGGGCACTCAAGCATTGGAGCCGCAACATTACTCATTGTCAATACCAGACGATACTTTTGCAAAACAAGCAAACAAAAAGATATTCAGTATTATCGATCTGTCAGATGCTTTCTTGCAAATCGAAATAGCGAAAGAATCAAGGAAAAATTTACGAAGTCTTTTATAGCAGATTCAGGAATTTAGATTTCATCTTAAGTCGCAAAAATGTAAATTACTTATGAAACAAATCAATACTTAGGACAAATCATTGATGAACGGAGAATCCGTTTAGATCTTGCAAGAACAAAGACAATTGCGCAAATGCTGATGTAATCATACTCCGCTCGTATCTAAGCGCGATCAAAATTTTTATGATTTTATTAAGAATATGCACAAATGGCGGAAATCATTTGATAAACTCCTCAGGACAAATTCTCAGTGCAAATGGTCTAAAGACTTTGAAGAATGTTAATAATCTTTCAACAAGTTCAAGAGTATATTTCAATCGGATCTTATGCTGACACATTATGAAGAGATAATCCGAGACAATAAGAAATTATTGTTGCAAACGATGCGCGACGCTTTAAATACAGGTATAGGATCATGTATCTTACATCGATTCCCCCTCACAGAGTCATCAAGTTGCTAAAACATCAATTAGAGTTCCACTATCTTCACGGCCAATACTGTCGGATCCATGGATCCGAATTCATATCAACTTCGCAGAGCCAATACACAATATCTACTTTTTTCTCACAGTAGACGCATATAGTAAATGGTTAGAAATCATTAACATGCAAACCACAATTGCTGACTGTACTTTCCACTCTCGAAGATTTATTTGCTCGCCACGGGCTACCCAAAACCATCCTCAGTGATAATGGAATGCAGTTCACTGACGGTATTTCCCAGAAAATCTACAAAGGGTATCCAACATGTTCGAACAGCATCATTGCACTCACAATCTAATGGATTTGTGGAAAAATTTGTCGATACCTTTAAACGTTACGTAACAAAACTAACGCAAAAAGGAGGAAGTGGTGAGCAGAAAACTAATCTAAATATTCTTTACAAACTTTACTGCACTACAAGAAATCGTAGCGCCCAAGAAGGAAAATCTTCCGTTGAACCAATGTATGGGCAAAACCTCAGGACAACTCTAAATTTACTCAAACCACTTAACAGTCAGATACCATTGAAATTTGTTATTGGTGGCCAGGACCGGATTGCGGTTTTTACCGCTCCTAGACAGTGAAATTGCCGCTCTCATTCAATCCTCCAACAATCACATAGTAGGAAGGAACAATAAAAAAAAGGACTTCTATATTTACTCTTGCGCTCGAAGTATATTGATAAAGAAACATAGAATGAGAGAGAAAACTTGAGAAGAGCCATGCCAGCCTTTTTCATGCACGCTTATACCAGCGCTAATATTCATTTTTGCGATATAAAAACTAGGTTACCACGTCCATTTTGTGAAACTATCGATAAAATCGTAATGTCAAAAATTGATGTAATCCTTGCTAATGAGAACTGCCTTTGGCTTTTATTAGCACCACATCCGTTTGGATGCACAGGTGCTGATATAAAGAGTTATCTATATAAGTCGCAAACGCAGAACGCAGTTCGCAGACGCATTTGCGACAGCCAATCAGAAGCGTCAATGGTACTAATAATAGCTTTCATTGCGACGACTGTCGCAAAATCGTCTGCGAACTGCGTTCTGTGTTTGCGACTTATGTAGACGGCCCTTTAGTGTTGCACCACCGATGAGATACTACTAATCTTCTGTTTTCATTTCATATATACGTTTTTTTTTTACCCAACGCGCTTATTGGAGTGAGTAGGAGCTATAGTAGGAACATTATTGGGCCGACGCGAACAAATTTTTAGTGATCGATGGAAAAGTTTTTTAATCATTTGCGTCTGACAAAAAATGATTATCTTTTAGAACTTTTTTTCGGAAAATGCTCTTCCCCTCCAAACTTGTCGCGTCACGGTATAGCCTAGGTTAGTCTCCAGTGCTAATATGCTGGTGGCAACGCTCAGGCTTGGTATGATAAGAAATGTGGCACACGACACAGAGATAACAAGAATGGAGAACATATTCACGTTACTTCATGAACAAATGGAAATGAATCTCAGCGGTCATTATTGAAGCTAGAGGCCGAGTGATGTATAATGTATGTACGGACGATGGCAAGATCCGTAGGATCCATCTAAATCAAATGCGTGCTAGAAGCAATGGCAAAATAGTAGAGAAGCAGCCTACTGATTCAATTTCTTTCGAGCTTCTCTGTGAGGAGTTTGTGCTCCCAATATCTTATATTTCCGGTTCGGTAGTGACGCCCCAAAAGACAATATCTACGCCGACATCAGGGGCAATTCAAGAACTCCCGTGCCCCTGCGGCCTTATCGGAAATGGCTGTTAGAGACAACTGACCGCTATTTCCAATAGGACCGCAGGGGCAGAGGGACCACCCCGGAGGATCTCATCTCGGACCCACCGACCGCCGGAACGTTACGGGGACTATGTCCCCACTTTCAGGTCGACCTCAAACAGGGAAGGTGTTGCCACCACGACATATACGATATCTCACGCTGAGGACATGAACGAGAAAGCAGCGATGTGTGGAAAATAGACCGAAGTAGACAGGCACAGACTACAGAATACTCTTTTTGTAGCAGAGTTATAATATATTGTTCGTATTGCATATAAGTGAAAACTTCGTTGTTGGTTGACACCCTTCCTTTCCTTTCCACCGCGCACATCACAACGTGTTGTATATAAAATATGTTATAATGCACTTACATTGTTGAGTGAGAAATTATAATATTGGTGTAACATTCTTGTTAATTGAAGTTAATTTTTTGCAATCCATCTATTTTAATCACTATTCTGCTTGCATTTATAAAGTACACATCTATTAATATTGGGGAAACTCTATATGAATACTTTGAGAAATACTCAGGAGTTCTATACATTGTGCATGTAACTTTTTGAGGTATTAATTCTTATTATGTTCTTCTATGAATTCCTAAGGAATTATAATTAAGGAAAAGAGAAAATTTGGAGAATACTTTGCAAATTTATTGAGCTATCTCGAATTCAATAAATTAAAAAAAAGAATTATTAATACGATTTAATTCCTCGCAATATTATATAAATATTACACAAATACCACAAAAATATTACAGTAAGACGATTATAATATATTATAGCAATATTTTTATGATCCATTTTCGCAAAAATATTAATATTAGTGTGATATATTTCAGCGATATTTCTGCTATATTTGTAATATTGCAAAGGGAAAATAACATTACTGTAATATTACGTGTTATGTGAGATTAGATATATTAAGATTTTGAATGAAACTACACTGAGAGAAAGGATTTTGTTAATTTAACAAGTCAGTTAATTTAATAACCAGTACTTTTAACCGCGGTGATCGGTAAATATGTGACAACAAATTTTGTTGTTGAGATTGCTGCTAGTCTGCTATATCAACCAATTTTTAATAACAGAAGCAAATTATATAGAATCTAATTTATCTTTTGGATAGAGTTTAGGCTCATTTACATAGAATTCGTGAAGTCTTGAGTGATAGAAAACCAATCAAGCACAGTCTAATATAGGGAGAATACTTGTCTAGAATTGGTCAATTTCTTATTATTTGAGATCTTGCCGTCTA